GAAGATAACAAATTAAAGCTAATTGGCCCCACTTTTAATCAAACTTTCTAGTTAAGCAAAGATCCAAATGAATCCTATTCTTGGCATCAATTCATTCATATTATTATTATTATTATTATTAATTTATTATTATTTGTTTGTTTGTTTATTTATTTATTATTGTTATTACAATACATACACTGTTTGGAAGTTGAATCTCACCATCGTTTCTTTTACCTATAATTTTTTTTTCTACTGCATACCTTTTTATTTCAAAATAAAATAATTTTCAGTCACTTTTTGCTTTTGTTACATGGTAGATAGTAAACGCAAACAACCCATTGGTTTAACATCTTGGTAGTGTATTGATGCACATCCATTACCATGATACAAAAAAAAATTTCTTGTGAATGTCAATTAAATTAATTGGTGAATGTATTCTTAAATTAATAGGTCTTTTGTTGAATTTTGATGAAATCATTTTCGGTTGAATCTCTTAATACATGAATTAAAAAAAATGCTTAGTAAATCTCACCTATAATTTGTAAAAAAAAAAAATTTAAAAAAAACACAGAGTTAATTTTTTTTTTAGTGGTACCAGTATAGTAAATGTCATACATAGTACTTTATAATTTATGTTATAGAAGTATTCTTTTACTCTTTCCGTTTCATGATAATGCTTTACCTTTTAATTTATTTAATGATGTTTCACATAGATGTTTATGTATATACTTTAATCCCTTAGATGACAAAGAAAATTTCCCCTTTTACCTTCCTTTTTAGTTTATCCTACCATATGAGTCCACTTTATCTATTTAATAGCACTCATTTTTCAAATTAAACACTTTTCACTTTTCTATCAAAAAGGTAAATACACGGTAAGAATACATCTTGATGAAGCAAAGAAAATATATAAATAAAACATTTATTATTACATAAATATGGTGGAGTGACATACACATATATTTAAAATCTTAGTAGAATCTAACATCAAAATGATTTCTATCAATTATTAGCAAAAGGACCTCAAATGTACCAAGAAAAAAGACACATACTAAAAATGAACCAATAGGAGAAGTTGAAGCATTGAATAAAAAAGTTAGGCAAGGCTAGGCAAATAGTCTAGTAGTATAACGAAAGCAAAGATAGGATTGAACCCACTTAAATTAGGGTTATTGTAACTTCTTAAGAACAAAGCAAGCAAATTAAAGTGTGGGAGACAGTTCATGTGGTTTGTCATTCATAAAGTGGACAACAAACTTGTGGGCATTGTCCGATCCCACTACTCTTATAATGTTATGGCCCCAGCATTTGATCTTAACCTTGAATTCCTGTAACCTAATTATTATGCCATTTATTTTATATGTAGTCTAGTAATTCTATATATATAGTGGGATAGGATAATCCTTTTTTTTATACAAAAATAAATAAATAAATTTTTACAAAGTGTATGTTTGACTCTACAATGTTCTATTTTTAATGGTGATGCATATATACTAGCTAGATCTCATTCCTCAAGAGGTGAGTACATAACCTATACAAGTGCCCAATTGCCCATAGCTTCTATGATCATTGTGTAGGTGCCCTTGAGTGAGGGCTTGACAATCATCTTATGAGTGGACCAATTATTAGTGGATTTGCATAATTGATATGTACCCAATTATTAAAATTTTGATCAAAATTAATGAATTGAATTTTTACATAATTAATTATTAAGTTTTTTAGTAATTAATTAAGCCAGCTAATGTGAAGTCAAAATGTCGATATGTTACAAGACCTTCTTGTAAAATTGTCATAGCGATGTGACATTAATATTGTATAAACATGCTATATATTCACTTTTTATGATTCAATTCGATCTTTTTAATCAAATCATTGAATTAGGCCCTGTTTGATTCACCTTAATTTTGCTGAACTGAAATTATTTTTACTGAACTGAACTTAATTTTACTGAACTGAAATTAATTTTATTGAACTTAAATTATTTTTACTGAACTGAAATTATTTTTACTGATATTCTTCTTTAAGAAAACTGAATTTTAGTGAACTGAAATTATTTTTACTGAACTGAAATTATTTTTACTGAACTGAAATTATTTTTACTGAATTGAAATTAATTTTACTGAACAGAACTTATTTTTACTGAACTGAGATTATTTTTACTTAATATTATTTTTTTAAGGTGAAGAGAACAGGGCCTTAATCATATCTTGATAATTGTATCATGAGGTAGGGATTAGCATGCTAAGAGAGATAGTCACTACATATAACTACCAAATTGTTTTCTTACCACACAACCACTTAATTTAACATGTATTAAACAATAAAGAAGAATAATAGCAATAGCAAATAATAAGATTAAACCACCCAAAATAATTGAATCATACAACCAATATAATGTTTGAAGTACTCACATTAAAGACACCTATATGTATCAAGTATAGTACAACTAGCTATCAACACTAGTACATAATAAAACCCCACAAAAGAGCAAAATCGTCAAAATAATTATTAATGTAACATAAGAAACATGGAGTCTCAATTAATGCCCCTGTTTATGGCAAAAAGCAAAGATCACAAAAAATCCTTATGAGGGACAAAGTCATGGCAAAATCCAAACATAAAAAGGCAAAAGTTTTCGTGGATATAATTGATAACATTGTAGAACAAACTAAGTACTACTCTTATCTTAACTACTACTTGCACAAACAAAACCCATTAATTTTGGTCTAAATAGTGAAAAGGCGGTGGCCTAGGGTAATTCTTTAGATTTGGAAAATCTATATTTTTTTTCTTTGTTTGTTTATTTTTATCTACAAGTTAAGTATTTCTATGATTAGTATTACTTCTTACGTTTCAAATACTTATATTATGACATTGATGATGGTCTAACATTTATTTATCACACTCATCATGTAGTACTTAGTATATAATAGCATGTGCAACTTGCAAGTGGTTTAAGACTCTTTTTTCTTAGCATGTTGAAGGTATGTTTTTCATGATTAATAGATGTCTGTGAAATAAAATGGAATATGGACAATGAGTCAACTCCATCAAGGAAGAAATGAAATTACTTTTATTTTTTAATTGTAAATTTGTAATACTTATATTGTATGTACTATTTCAAAATGCCGGCAACATATATCTAGCTCCTTGCACATGGTTTAAGGAAGAGGTTACAAAAGGTAATAAAGCAATTTAATCAAAATAGCCAAAGATATATAATTGATTTCGAAATCCATTTCATATATAGCATGTTACTAAATAATACGAGTAAGCAAAGAACTAAACATCATACTGAATCATTGCTTGACAAATCTCACTATCTCTAATTTATTTTACTTTCAACAATTTTCAATTCCTACAATCAAAAACAATTTTCAATTCCTAAAATTAATCGCCAATTGTACTATTTTCAAATGTGAAACTCAATCGTTTGGCGTTTAGGGCCTATTCTGTTCAACTTAATTTTAGTTCAGTTCACTTTAATTCAACTCTAATTAGTTCATCAGTTCAGTTCTTAATTTTCTTCTCTCATAAACAATTCATTTCAGCTTTATTCAGTTCAATTTAGTTGTTTCCAATAAATTGGAACAAACCCTAATACTATCTCCATTTTTTAATAGTTACAACACACACTTTTTTACGCTATTTAAGAAAAGAGAGGTTCACATGATGTAATACACTTTAAAACAGTGTGAGAGGTTTTTTGGATTATAATTTAGTGGGTCATGTGCTTAAATAAGAGAAATAGTACAACTTTTCAACAAAAAATTTTCCATTTATACTGTGTTGTAAGTATTATGACATTTTCATTTTATGAAAGTGTTACAAGTAATAAAAAAACGGAGGAAATACTATTTTATATACGGAGTATATATATCAACATAAATGAGTAAACAAACTCTCATGCAAGTGTAAAACATAAAAATCACCTTCTACGGAGTACTAGTACGAAGAAAACAAACTCCTTATGGGATCCTACAATAACATCATCAATAAGTTGGTTCATTTAATAAATTGAGATCGAACATGAAGAATTTCACGTTATTAAATAACAATAAATGTCTCAAACTATTGCATACAGTCGTGTATAAATAATCGTAGTCCTAAAAAAATACGCATTCATGAAAAAATACCAAAACAAAAAAACAAAAAAAAAAGTGGACACACACACATGAAAAAATTTACTGGTAAATTTCCAAATGTTAAGAGGGTAGACAAAAAGCTAGACTCATGAGCTGACGAATCAACCTCTTGCTCATGATGTTTTTCCCACCGCCATGTGATTTGTGAACCATCCAATCCACGTATGTACATACCAGTTTATATGCATTTTAATGTTCATTCGAGTACTTATTTTTGGCAAAGAAATACAAAATGCTTCCTCTTTTTTCTTTTAATCGCAACATTTTAGCTTTTATATTATTACATCTCTATTTACAAATAAGTATAATAAAAACAAATATGTTATATCTCAATACTCACTGTTTTTTAGTCTGGTATTTGTAGGTTAGTGATTATTATTTTGGTGAAGCGGGTTAGTGATTATGAAAGTGGGGGAAATATAAGAGATCCCTACTCGTACAATGTCTCTAATAGTCTAGTGAAGCTTAAACCCCTAATTTCAAAGCTAAAAGGTGCAATCCTTATCACCTTATGACTCCGTAGTAGATTGTTGCAATTACGGAGTACAAGATAATAAATGGAGTACAGTATAAAATTTGGTACTCGTAATTTGTATTTTCTTCCTTGTTTTAATTTTAATTTTAGAGTTGGGTATTCATGGTTTTGTTTGGTATATTAATAATGATGGTAAAAGGTAAGGTGGGCCTCATGTTTCAAATGGTCAACCTATGTAAGAGAGATAAAGAACCAGATTCGTCTACTCCTTAAAAATCCCAAACTAATTTATAAAGTTTCATTATATATTTATATTTATATTTACCTATATTTAATATTAAAAAAAATCCTCACTGATAGTATTATTAATCACAGCCACCCACCCACCCCAATCCGCCCCCACACCAAGTCTTCTTATTTAGCATTCTTCACCTCCATTTTTCCTCCTCAACTTCTCCACTTTCTCTCTCTTAAACAAAAAAAACACACTTCATTTTCTCTCTCTACAAAATTAAAATGGTTTCCCCTTCAGATAATCAAGAACAAACTCTTACTCTGGGATTAGGATTCTCATCTATTTCTTCTGCTAAGACGAAGAACCCGATACTGGGGCCAGGGACGAAGTCGTGTGATCACGAACCGTCCCTGACGCTCAGCCTATTGGGCGAAACGTATCAGACGACGACGGCAGTGGCGGCCGTTGAAAGGAAGGTATTTGTTGATCAAGAGCCGCCATGCAGTGTTAGCGTGGCGTCTTCTCTCTCTAACGTTGTGTCAGTTAAGAGGGAGAGAGAGTCTGCTAGTTCTGACGATTTGGAACTTGAGCGTGGATCTTCTAGAATTAGTGATGAAGAAGAGGATGGTTGTGGTCCCACTAATACTCCTAGGAAAAAACTCCGTCTTACTAAAGATCAATCCGCTCTTCTTGAAGAGAGTTTCAAGCAACAGAGCACCCTCAATTCGGTAATTATTTATTTCACAACTTTTCGTCTCTAAAAATCCTTCCTGTTAAACGCTAAAAAAAATCTGTAAATCGTAACAGGTTACCCCTGTTACAAACTATTAGCGTTTCTAACAACTTTTTTTTTTTTTCTTGATTTAAATTAATTGAATTAGAACTTATTTTTATTCTTTCAATTTTGTTACAGAAGCAAAAGCAGGCCTTAGCGGATCGATTGAACCTACGACCGCGCCAGGTCGAGGTCTGGTTCCAGAACCGTAGGGCAAGGTAAGCACTTATTTTTCAATTTTCATTACCCATCATAATTACGTATTGTAAGTGGCAGAGTGACCTTGCTGATACGATCCATTATTATTACGGAAACGTGCAGGACCAAACTTAAGCAGACAGAGGTTGACTGCGAGTATCTAAAGAAATGCTGTGAAACACTAACAGATGAGAATAGAAGGCTTCAAAAAGAGTTACAAGAACTAAAAGCATTGAAGTTAGGACAGCCATTTTACATGCACCTACCAGCAGCAACGCTGACGATGTGCCCTTCTTGTGAAAAAATTGGTGCCGGTGTGAGTGTTGGTGTCCCTACAATTCCTGGGACACCTACCACTAATTCTACGCCTGCTTCTAAGACTGCTTTTACTCTTTGTCCTAGTAAATCCCATTTTTACCCTCAGCAACAAATCCGTCCTCTTCTTGTTGATTAGTATTTCTCCAAAAAATTATATTAATTAATTAATTAATCAAGGTTTTAGATTATTTATTTAGTGGTTTATATTATATCTTAATTAGTTTTATTTTTATGTTATAGGAAAACTAAGTTTAATTAGGTGAACACACCGGGTGGGTTGCCGTGGACCGATCTTTTTCTCGGTCCCGGATTATAATTTTGTTTGTTTGTTTTTTGGTTTTTTTTTTCATTTTTTTTTTGTTTCAAAACGAGATAGGAAAAAAAGAAGAAAATTCAAAAAAAAAAATAAAATGAAGAAAAAAGGTGTAGTGTAAAAATTTTAGCCTTATTTTATTTTTTTTATTTCCAGAAATAGAATTTACTGATCCAGATGTTGGGTCTGTTGGTATTTATCTTTGTAAATATTGCATGACGATAATATATATTATATCATAAAAGTATTATTATTGTTATTATTATTATTATTATTATGGTTGTTTGTTATGATGATTGTCGATAATTAATTGTATCATTGTCGTAGTTGAAACGACTATGTTCTTTTATTTCTTTAGTTTGAGGCTAAGTTTGTTTTGTTGACATCTCAATTTCTTCCAACTTCTAATCAGTTTGGCTAGATTCTGACGTACATACCGTTGTGTCTCCATCGTCATAGAATAGCTTCTTTAGATCCTCAAGACCAACAACTCTATAATTGTTAAGTTTCTTTTCACAGGTGTCTATTGCACAAAAGGAAGTGTCGTAATTCGATCCCAAATTTTAAATACTACACCAAAACTTTATAGATGAAAAATTACGCTTTTGCATGCTCAAAAAATTACGAAAAAATGGCATGGTATGAAAATTTTAAAAATTCTTATAGTAGTCATCGTTAAAAAAGATCGTCATTATACTAATTTTTATTGGCTGAATTTGATGATTTTTTAATATTAAATCATTTATCTAATTATTAAAATTTATTTATTAATTTTGATTTTTTTTATAATTGTCCTAATTAATTACAAATTTAGTTTTTATTATTACTTAAATAGAAAAAATCATAAATTAATTATGAATAAATAAATAAATAAAAATTTAAAAACATTTATGATTAATTTTGACATAAAAATAAATTAATAATAAATCAATAAAAAATTAGCATAATGATAGTTATTTTAACGATAACTACCATAGGGTTTTCAAAAACTTTGATTTTGTCTACGTAGATATACATGTTAATATTACTTCCTGGCCGAAAAACAAGAATTCTTTTGATAACGATGAATAGTGTTTAGAAATATCTTTACCCAAAGTACATATATCATAGACAAGTTGCTTGTTTGAATTGTTTATATGTCACTCTACTAAATTAAAAGGAATACTTTTACCATACTTTTAAAAATTAACACAAATGCACGATATCCACTATACACTAAAAGTACACAAATTTACTAATTCTGGTGTAAGGGTTTGTTCTCTTCAGATTATTTTTAGTTTAGTTCAGCTTTAATAAGTTCAATTCAGTTCTTTATTTTATGTTCTCATAAAATATTTAGTTAAGTTCAGTTTTTAATTTGCTTCTCTCGTAAAATATTCAGTTCAATTCAATTCTTAATTTCCTTCTCTCGTAAAATATTCAGTTCAGTTTAGTTTAATTTAGTTCACTTCCAATAAGTTCAGTTCAATTTAGTTTAGTCAATCAGAACAGACCCTAAGATAAAATAAAAATTATTTAGTTTTTTATTTATCATAATGTAATGGTCTTCCACACGTACAATCAATTACATTATGAAATATACTTACAGGTACACAAATGTACTGCCCTTAGGCCTTAGCTTCATTTATACCCGTGTGTACTGTGTATATAATCTAATTAGCGTTGCTACCATGGAAAAAAGGTTCAAAATAAAAGAAGAATGAATGAATATGAACTAGAATAGCCGGTGTACGAAAAAACAACAAGAATTTGCAATCACGACACAAACATCACGGCACTCGGGGTTCCTAAGAAGTCTGAATCAAATGGTTTGTTGTTCCAAAAATGATTCAGAAGTGCGACCAACTTGTTATACTGTCTGCCAATAAGATGTCGGTCAATAAAATATTCAAGGTTTCCTATTTGCACTCATGTATTACTTCCGTTTTATTACCTCCGTTACAGGTTATGTGCAACGATTTGACATAAAGTGGAGTGAAAAAATGTCTAATCGTTACACATAACCTGTAACGGAGGTAGTATATTATTTGCAACGATTTAACATAAAGTATTGGGGAAAAATGTCTAATCGTTGCAAATAATATGAAACGGAGTAGTATTTTTTTCGTTTCATATTATATAATCGCAATAATTTTCTTTTTTATGTGCTTTATAATAATTATAATATTATTTTATTTGATAAGTATCCGTTATTATTCTATTAAGGATAATGCTAAATGCAGCATTTAATATACTTCCTTTTTTTAGTACTCCGTATTAAGTTAGAAATTTATCGACAATTTACATGTTTATTTATTGTCAATTATTTTCACTTTTAAGTTCTTATATACAGCTCTTAAAGCTGCATATATCTTTTTCACTTTATTAACTAGTACAATATCTCTTTAATTAATCACACTTTCACAAATATTTTTAATCTCCTATTAATCCCAACCACTTACGCTACTTCACTGTGTTACAAATAGTACTCTAATAAGCAGAAGTTGTCATTCCAATTACACATCACGGCAAAAGAAAACATAACACAATCCTATTTCACTATGTTAGGCCCGTTCATTACAACTTACAAAAATAATATTCAGCAAAAATAATTTCAGTTTAGCAAAAGTAATTTTGATTCGGTAAAATAATTTTAATTCAGTAAAAATCAGTAAACATACAATAATTTATGTTCAACAAAAATACGATGAAGTGAACGGAGTCTTATTTATAAAGAACAAAGTTATCAAATTTTGACAAGACACAAATAACAAATTGAAGTAGTGAAATAGAAGTAAAAAAAAGTTTTTTTTATACTCATACAGTCATTTATTTGATGCAAAAATTGGATTATGTTTAACATGCATAAGTTTCATAAAAGATTTTAGTTGCTAAATTGAAATTATTTTTGGTGAACTTCAACTATTTTTGGTGAACTTCAACTATTTAACCAGAAACTGAAATTAATTTTGCTGAACGAAAATTATTTTTTTTATTTTTTTTCTTCTGATTTTCTGTTGTATTTCTTTTATAAAGTTACTGAATTTTACTGAACTAATTTTTTTTTTAAATTGAAATGGGAACTTTATTTTACTGATCAACTGAACTTATTTTTGCTGAACTGAAATTATTTTTACTGAATATTACGGAGTTTTTATTCAAGTTGAAGTGAACATGGCTTTATAGTGAACTTCTCAATTTTCATATTAATTCGATTCAATTCAAATCAAATTTTTCCGCACCCGTTATTGTAACTATTTTCAATCCATCTCAATCTAGCTCCATAAAATCAATTTATATGTAATTATTTATTAGAGCAATATCAATTACCGAAGTATGGTTTATTGAATGATTTGCTATAATCGATGATTGTATTATATAGAAACAATACGAGTATAATTTACTTTGTAATATATTTAGAGTACATACAAGATATATCATTAAGATTTATAACTTTTCAATATGATTTTCTACAATATATGGATTACTAATAAAATAAGAAATCTATGAGAATGAGGAATAGCTCAAATGGTTAGAGTTTTCCTTCCGATTATAAGAGTATATTTTGAGATCGATTCTCACCCCCACCCTTATGGTTCTCTATAAATAAATAAAAAAAAAATTTTAAAAAAAAAAAAAAAAAAAACTATGATTCTTCTCATTAATCAACAGTAAGGTCAATAACTTTTTTTTAAAAAAATAACAGTATGGTCAATAATTAATTACCTAGGAATTGCTGAGTAATAAATACATAGTATTTTGTAAGTATCCTAAAAAAAAAAAGTTTGTTGTAAAAGTAAAAGATTTATCTTCCTAGTAGGGTCTTGATTACCCCTGGTTATTGGGAGGGTCGGGTTAGGATTGCTGCGTATTGAGTTAAAAGGGATTGCAATTTATAAGACCAATGCCGATGTAGGTCACTGGTCGGTCAATAATTAGCGGGCTAGCAAATCATCAATTAAAATAAATATTGGACAAAGTCATAACTAAGGGTCTGCTCTCTTCAGCTTAAGTTCAGTTCATTTCAGTTCAGCTCCAATCAGTTCAGTTCAATTCAGTTCCTAATTTGCTTCTATCATAAACAATTCAGTTCGACTCCAATCACTTTAGCTCAGTTTAGTAAATCAGAACAGGCGCTAAGTACATATGAATACGAAATTATGTTTATAATTTTTATTTTTACATTGTCTAATTTCTTTATGTATTAAATTGGATAAACAGTACATTTTAGCCCTAAATTGATCATATTCCTACCCAATAACAGTCCTGTCTATTAAAAATCATGTCCATTAAGAACCCTATATATTTGACCCTAACCCTATTATAAATAGACTACATTAGACTACCATGTCTAATAACCAGATTTTGTCTTGATGAATGAAGGAAATAAAAGAACAATTTAAGGAAAGTTTATTGGTAAATCAATGAGAATTTGGGATGGTACTGAGAGTAGTAGTCAAGAGATCATGTCAACATGAAATACATTTGACAATTAATTCGGTAATAAAATGTTTCAACCGTGTTTTACGGGTTCTTCACACTTGGTACACGTCTGATGAGATTCAATCTGTGGATATTTACAAATTACAATGCAGGTTAGCAGCGCAAAGTATATGGAATATTGAGAAAAAAAAATGATGTGGATCTTACCATCACGTGAATAAAAGAATAGTAAAGAGCACACTCTAATTAAGTACTCCGTAATTATACCTAGAATGCCATTTTATTTTAAGTACCACTTATGGTGTATATAGAGCTTGTTCTGTTCAGCTTGTTTTTACTTCAATTTAGTCTGGTTTCTAATTTCTTTATCTCATAATAAACAATTATGTTCAGTTCAGTCCAATTAATTTAGTTCAGTTCAGTTGTTTTCAATAAATCGGATCAGACCTATAATACCACAACAAACATGATACCTCCGTTTTAGTCTTTCACAATGATCTTTAATTTCCATTTGACTATATACGTGCTATGGTTCTAATGAATGTACATATTTTAATTTCATGTTCATAAAAAACAATTAATAATTTTTTTTTTTAACAAACTACTCATTAAGATTCATTTCAAAAAAAAAAAAAATAAATAAAATAAAAACTTACTCATTGAGATGAATCAAATAAAATCCATATTTTTTTTGGTAATGAGATCGAAGAGTCCTATCGAGTCGAAACCTCTCACAAGTCTTCCCCGAGCAGCTAGGTACTTTGGGAGCTGGGGGTGATAAATGAATCCCACCCAAATACCTCTAATATGGTTTGATTACAC